TGCGCCGAAACGGGGCCCTCCTGAAGCCCCCCAGCATCAAGCAGCAGAAGGAGGACAGCAACCATCAGGAAAAGGAGAACCTGCTGCACCAAAGGAGCGGCGGCGTAGAGTCCAACCGGCTGCCCGGCGAAGCCAGCAGCAGCAGTAGTGGCGGCGAAGAGGGCGGCGAGCAGGGAGGAGTTGGGCGCAAGGAATTCATCGAGGCCCCTCCACCCAAGGTGAACCCTTGGACTAAAAACGCCCCTGTGGCGTTAGTCACTCTCAACGGACAGTCCCCTCCAGGTGGGTAGGTAGGATGAGACCTTTGGCGGCCGAGGTTGGCGGGGCGGGGGGTGGTGGTGGGGTGATAGGCTTATTCTGATACGGCGGAGCCAGTCATTCGAGGTGGGGAGTCCTCCCTCTGCAATATGGTGACATGCTCTCCCCCCCTTAATAGAACTCCACCCTGTCTTTGTCCATGTACACCCACCCGGTGCTACCTCACCCGGCACTCCGGGAGCCTCTTCGCAAAAATTGATTCGAAAGAAGGCAAATGGAGGTCGGTGAAAGCGTGCTACGGGGCTTTCAAAACCAAGCGTGAAATCTCTTTAGACCTTGGTCGCCACAAAACGCGCCCTATGAACTCTTCTTCCCCGCCCCCCGCAACCCTTTTCCCCGTCCGCATGTTTGATAGAAATCTGCTTTTTTCCTTTAAAGTGACGGCCGGTGTGTAGTGGATTCGTCTATATTCACTTCCTTCCCGTTCACAGGCGAACGCTCGGCATTGCAATATATTTATCAGGTTGTAAATGTTTAATGAGCTTGAGCGAGAGACAGACCCCACGCCGCTTCCTTTCCTAAATAGGCCTAGTTAAATCGCGTGGTGCTGGGTGAAGTCTAAGAATATCTGGCGGTGAATGTAACCCCGTCTGAAGTAGACATGCCCAAGGTCTTCGGTCTCAGCTTGATTGGAGAAGGGAGGAGAGAAAAGGGGGGGGGAGAACCGGGGTGGTAAACCGGGGTGGTAAACCAGGGCTATCCTTCATCCTAGGTACCAAAGACTTTAAATGCATGCTTATTTTTTTAAAAAAGCCGTCGGCGCTTTGATTTGTTTGAATTGGGGGTGTGGTGGGGAGAGGCGACGAGCTACCGACAGCTGAGCCCCCTTGAAACATAGGAGGGCATCCAAAGCGCGTGTACAGGGAGGAGGGCAGACCGTGTGCTGACTTAAGCGAGGCCAAGGCGGCGGTGGGTCATGCGGCTCAACCGGGGCGGGGCACTGGGAAAAGTGGTGCATTTCGAAGGTTCCATGGCGTTGTTGCGGCGTTCTAGGCCCCAGCGCAAACGTGCCTCTGGCGACGGTTTGAGCGTTCCGTCGCCCAACGCCTCGCCGCCCAATGGCTGGGCGTGTGTGTGTGTCGCCCATTCGGAGCTTCCTCCCTTTCCCAGCATTCCACTGCAGTAAAGGCAACGTGGTTTTCTTTGGGTGCGAGCATGTGATTTTCCTGAACTAGCTACGGAGCCTTGCTTTTCGACTCTTTCCGGCTGTGTGCGTAGCCGGTCTGCTTTTCGCTTGGGCTCCGGAGAACGCTTCTGTAAGGCCCCTTCGGATAGTTGTCGTGACCTATAGCGATAGCGAAGCCTGCGATAAGGACGGAAAGCAGAAAAATAGGCCTCTCTGCCCCTGTATGGTTACTGTAAAGTATTGTCATTTATTTGTGAAAAGGGCACTTCCCCTTATTCCTAACTTGGTGTGCACTGATGGTGCAAGAAGGTCCTTAAAGTATGTGGGGCAAAGGTCCTCCAAATGTCCACGTGGGCTTATTCCTTTCTAGTTTATTGAGTGCAGATGGGCTTTTCTATTGTAGTGCTAGGCCTGCGCCCTGACATTTAGGCCTTCAATTTCATAGTTGAAATCTGACCTAACATTTATCCTGGGAGGAGACTGAAAGAGAGAGGACAGTCGTTGTTTCTTTTACTGAATTGACTTTGGGGCTGACAACTTTGTCTCCCTGGTGTTATGTAAATGTACAGTATAGCATTAACAAAATTAAAAACATTAATTTTGTGTAGTATTCAAAAGCTAGGTGATACATTTTCTTTGCAAACATATGGTTTGGAGTGAGATAAAAGATTGAATATAACCCTATAAGTTGGTAGCTTGTGAATTTGAAATTGGATCTCCATTTTTTTTAAGTAGAGAGAAAAGGACAATTTAGCAGAAAAGGAGGAACTTCGGAGGAAAAAAGTACTTTTATGAAATGTCAAGCCCTTGTAGTTTAAAAAGCTTATTAATATTGACTATTGTTTATTCATGGATGTGTGTATATGCAGTCTAATATGACGAATCATTCAGTTTCATTGATACATAGTTTGTGTACCATCTGGTTGGAAAAGTGGGGAGAAATAAATTTTATCACAAGCACAGTGTTATAATTGTGCTTTAAAATTATAGAATACAGTGTACTTAAGTGTTTCATCTGATGTAGTAAAACTGGAAGAAATCCGATAGTGCTGATTTTCTGTAATATAGTTAAGAACCAGAACCAGTATAAGGCAGAGTTTAATCTGTTAGAATAGAACAAGAGAACCCAGGTTCAGATCAGTCCTTAGCCATGGAAACTAGATCATTCACTCTTAGTTCCATGTACCTTATAGTGTTGCTTTTTGGAGGATAAAATAGAGATCTCCACATAAATCTTCGTAGCTTTTGGAGGAAAGGCAGAATATCAGTCTAACAAGCAAATAAAGTAGACTGCTCTATATATTATCCTGTTACAAGAACACAGAGGTGGGAGGTACTTGGCATGTTGAGTAACTTATGTAAATCTTTGCTTTAATTGGAAGTATTTATTTGTTTGACTTTTACCCCACCTTTATTTTTTCTTAACTTAAGTCAGCTTATCTGCCTAATGCTCCTACCTGTTTTCCCCACAACAACAATCCTGTGAGGTGAATGGGCCCAAAGAGAGTAACTGGCTCAAAGTCATCCAATTGACTTTCATGGCTAAGAGAGGACTAGAACTCATGGTCTCCTGTTTTTTTAGCTTGGCACCTTAGCTGCTACACCAGATATTTAAGTTCTTAGTGGCTATTTAGAAGGGTACGTGTTGCTGCTTATATAAACAATAAAGTGCAGTAGTATTGATAGACACTTTTCATCTTAAATAAGAATACTTGCTTCCTTTCTTTTTCCTATGCCAGGTTCTTTGGGATTCTAGCAGCAAAATCTGAAGAAATTTTGTTTCAAGATATTCTTTAGATTTGTGTAGGCTTCAAACTTTTAAACTCATAATGGGTGACTCATAATGGAAACCTGTTTTCTCATCACTGCTGTTGCCAGTTCATGCACCCATGGATAGTTATGGCAGCATACTTCCCATATACTTTTCCTTCCTTATCTCATACAGAATACTCCCAGTATGGATAATTTAACAATAAATGGAGAGAAAAGGTTGTATAGAAACATGGGTGTGCTCGTATGTTACCAGATTGGATTAAGCAATTGCAGATCACCAGATTGGATTAAGTGGATTGTTTTGAGATAGCTATACAGAACTATCTCTCTCTCTCTCTTTTTTTAAAGCTTACTATGTTATACTATTGATTGCTAAAGATGTATATGAGCAAATGTGATGGGGGCATTTATATTTGTGTGATACTCAATATCTGTCTATATGACATTGAAAAGAAAAGGTGCTCTTTAGGAATAAACTATAGATATGAGAGTTATGAGAAGGCATACAATATTGAAGTCTTGCTTTATATGAGAAACGTTTATCAAAGTGGTTTGTTGATAAATGGAGGCATTATGAGATTCAATCTGATATCAGAGCTAAATTAGATTGCTATTGTTGAGATTCAGTGTTCCAATATTTTCATTTTATTATTCTATTAGAAGTGATGTTCGAGATCATCTGGTTCATCCCCCTGTCCAGTCAGGATTCTGTTACTGCAGCATCTGACAGATGGCTGTCAAGCCTGTATTTAAACAGGGGCAGTGAAGGAGAGTTCACTATCTCCTGAGGCAGTATATTCTGTTGAAATTAAGAAACTAAAATCTGTTACAGTAGATGTTTATTCAATGTCTTTTGGAACTAAAGTCACCTAAGGGAAAAAATAAAAATTATCGTGAGGCCTATTCGATCATGTAGTCCTAAGACTTTCACGTACTGGATTAATAAAAACATGTATAAGAAGAATTTAATTTATCACTATATGTGACAGAAGTCACTGCAGTTATGCATAGGTTACAGCAGTCTCTCATCTAGGCTCTGCTTAACCAACAACATTGTTGCTTCATCTTCAAGCTATGCCCTGGTTCATATGCCATATACTAAGTCACGTTATGGTTCTTTGACTTGGGGTGTGAAAATTGTGTGGATTCAGCCATTGTGGTTTTCAGTTACCATAATGAAACCACTAAATTAAAGGAACTGTGGCTAAGTACAATGCACATGTACTCAGCCTATCTCCTAGTAAAAACATAACACCTAATCATCATTTGATGCTGTAGTAAAATGCTTTGTGTGCATGTTTCTTCTATTTTTTTCCCTTGTGCTTTATTCAGCACTATTTTCTCTTAAATTGAATGTCCTTTGTTAATACAAAACTAAAATAAATTTAGAAACTAGTGAATACTAGGAAAGAATGAGATGCCCATAAGCCAGTATGATGTAATAGTCAGAGTACAGGGTTAGAGCTGGGTTAGAAGCCAGATTAGGATCCCATTCAGTTAAGATGTTCACTGGCAGATGTTGCGTTAGTCTCTATCTTGGCCTAAAGTATGTTGCATGGCTGTTGTGAAAATAATGTTGGAGCTGGGGGGAAAACTATGTATGATATCTGGTGTAACTAGAGAAAAGGCTGGATATAAATATAATGAATAGATAGGTTTTTTTTTTTTTTACTTCCAAAATATTATTTCAGGCTCTGAAATAATTATTTGAATAATCAAATAGTCACAGTGCAGTCTCCAATCCTGTCTTACGCGCTTGAGTATCACAACAAATGTATAAAAAGGGCAGGGCTGCTGATGCTGCTTTTGTAGTTCTGCCACACAAACATATGCTGCCTCTACAAATGGCACTTTGGGGGCAGTTAAACCTGACTGACGTTACAGTTACAGATATTTGGCAATGAATTCTGTTGATTGAATAAATAAGTAGGATTAGGCTGTATAATTTACAGTGAAGAGACTGTATGTCAGAAAGACTATACTGAAAGAGAGGTGGATATTCCTGACAAACCTGCACTGGAATATCTGTTGCCTTACAATATTTGGGGGAAAATGTTAGATTTGAGAGCCCCCGTTCATAAGATAAATATGAAAAAAGTACAATTGATACAGGTTAATTGTGCCAATTGTTAAAATATCCTTAGTGCACTATTCTATAACATTGACTAGATTATGGAAATTCTGAAGTTAGGCCATATCCTGTCAAATTAAATCTTAAACATTCTTGTTTTTGCAAAAGAACTTTCTATGTAATTTAGTTCTACAAAAGGTGCTGTGCAATATTTTGGATTCTGTTCTTGAAAGAACCATTACTTCACCTGAAGATATACATGGCATTGGATGTATGAGTCTGTTATACTTGCTTAATCAGTTAGACATTAATTTTAAGATTATCTTATTGTTTTAGTACTGTTTTTCATCTCATATTTCAGGAAAAATATTCTAGTACAATTATCATTGAGAGAAACTAGGCCTTCTTTTAATGCTTATAAAGCTCCAGGTGCTGAATACTCTTTTTTTCCCTCAGTGGTTTTATAGGATAAAGTTCTCTTTCATAAGATGTGTGCAGTGTTTCAATTCTTGTCATTTGCTTGGACTTCTTCGCTATGATTCTGCAACAGAAAAATGAGAATTGTAGCTGCTTCAGTTCATAACTCATACTTCAGATATGAAAGAAAGGTGACAATAGCATAAGAGTTCCTTTACTGAATCCCTCATTGTGTTAGAGGGTTGCAAAATATTCCAAGATTGGAACAAAATAACGCTGAGGCATTTTGTTTCATGTTTAAATGATCCAACATCCTGCTGTAGTCCTTTAAGGGGGGGAAAAAACCCCTCCAAGCTATGAAGAGTATGATAGCCAATAAAACAACAGGTTGCCAGTGGTGGGAGTGAATTGAAGGAAAGAGATGGGATTGAGGAAGAGTTAGTTAACCATATACTGCTGCCTGCCTGGTATGTAAATGTATTGCTGTTTTTAAATTGTTTCATTTGAGGAAAGTTGAATTTATAGGTTGTAATGCATGAATTCTACTTTCCCCATTTGAAGCAATTCTTTAGGCAGGTTGCCAAATGAACAAGTGTATATTGTGCATATGTAATACATACAGTGTTTGCTCTACTTTTGAGTTTTCAGGTTACCACTGGAGGAATTGAGTTGCTTTATTTATTGAGTTTGGTAGAATTCAAATACCAAAAAATATGTGCTGTGCTTGTGCATTAGGAAGAAGCTTTAAAGTAGTAGCCAGAAAACTATTTTCACTGTTAGGTTGTTGTTTATGAGCTGTTTGTATCTGTTGTTGCTTCCTTGCTAGGCTTAGTTTTATTCACTGCTGTTTGTGCAGTGGGGATATTTAA